AATAGACAAAGATTTATAGACTGTTTAAAGCGCACACTTACAGCTATAGGTTTGAACTCTGACATGTACAACGGACACTCGTTTCGCATAGGTGGCGCCACCACAGCTTCCGTTAACAATATTCCGGATCATTTAATTAAGACATTGGGACGTTGGTCCTCTGACACCTATTGTAGGTACATAAGAACGCCTAAAGTGACATTGGAAAAGGCACAAGTGGCAATGGCTAACTCATTACAATGATATAAGCTAACTAGTACGTAGACAAATATTGATATCAGAAAATGAATAAAGGGGCATCACGCTGAAGTAACCTTTTTTGTCTTTTTTTCAAATACTACATAAACATATCAAGTGAGACTCCTTATGGAAAATAACGATCGGAATTGGCTGAAATAAATTCATAAAAATGATTAAATCTAAGATAATATCGGTATTTCTGCCCGTCTGACCAACGTTTTGTTCAGGGATTTCCCTCTAGTAGCGAATGCGCATTGCACGCCATTTCTTTGTAAACAAAATGACTGGCCGTGTGAAGTAAGCCAAAGAAAAGTGTTGTACCGTGTCAGCTACGAAGCGAAAAGTTGCCAAATGGTCAAAAGGTAGCGCAAGGAGAACTATTACAGGTGGGAAGTATTAAAAAGAGAAAATAACTGCCCTAGATGTTAGAATGGTGCATGCATTTTTCCGAATAGCCGCAGTTCAGCTGAAATGGAATCGACAGAAATGCTTGCGCTGTTTATGTTATGAATAAATATCTAAAACTATTAACCTCGCTAGTATCTTTGTCGGAGTTTGAACACAGATGAACTTAGTTTAATATATCAATGGGCATGTATCGGAGAGAGTTTACTTTGTGTTTCTATAATCATACAATGGTTTATGCGAAAGGAAGGGATAAGTGACTGGTTAGTTTAATTTTGTCACGAGGCCCTCCAAGGGTTAACTGTTGTGATAGCCACGGTGTATTCTGTCTTGTCGGTTCTCGTGATCGGGGTCAAATGAGATACGTGCGCTTTTAGATTTACATAATTTATAATATTACAGGGTTCAGTAAAATGGTATGATTTAATTATATTGCTGAATTAAACGATTTTTTGTTTGTTTTTACATACAAGATTTGAATGAGTACTAATATGAATCAAGAATGTGTAGTGGAATACACGGCTTCCTCTGGCGCAACGACGCAATATATAAAAAAAATATCTCGTCGTCAGAAAGCTACATTATCGCAGCTAGATTCAAAATGTCAAAATGACGAGCCAGGATGAATAACTGAGGAAAGAGAACCTACTTCTAGTAAATAGGATCGCGTAATTTTTTTTTTTAAATCGTAATATTTCAACAGTTCATGTTTTCATATGTTGTTGAGTTAGAATGTATGATCATGTAACAACCTTTTCTCTATAAAGAATTGATTTTCGACTTCAGATAGAATCGGAATACGTATTGAAAACAGGGGAAGAAACATTTGTTTACGTTGTAAAAATGACGCATGCTGCCGATAACTACGGCTTCTGTTTCGGACAAAAATGAAATGATTAAAGAAAAGTTGGCTCAACATAAAAAGGGTCCATTGACAAGAATGCTTTAATCTATGAAAAGTATTGAAAAAATATAATTATCAAGTAGCTCAACACGTCCCATATCTGACACATACTCTACATGTACACGTAGTGGTTTTGCCATACAGTTTAGTGTGTGTGCTTAGTGTGTGTGCTGGCTAATATGACTTACTAAGTGTTAGCGTATGGAGACAGTGAAAGTGGGAAAGAGAGTATACATACATTGTTATGCATGGTATAGAAAAAAGAATTGGCCAAAGATATTGAGTTTTACAATGCAATAAAAAAATCACAAACATTTCTCTTTTTTATACGCGTGTAGTTTGTTATTGCATATATGCACTTTATGAAAACATATGAAAAGGGATATTCGTCTCGTGAATATTCCTTTTTACAGAAAGGGTTGTCCCATTGTTGAAGAAAGGTGTTTAGCCCCGAACAGATGACACATTCCGGTACTAAATTCAATATATATTTATATATATATACCCTATGTTTATGCCTATTATCATTGTTGACATTTAATTGTAAATGTATGACGGGAGAAGGCTGTGATAAATTGTAAAAACGTGTGACCCATCCCTTGTTCAATTTTATTGGCAACAAATATGTTGAAAGCTAAGTAAATTTAAATTCTTAATATTGGCAAGTGTGCAATTAACTTCTGATGATGAATAACTACTGTTCAATAAGTTTTAATACGGACTTAGAAATCATATTACTTGGTTTCATAGTGCGGTAAAAAGTTGCAGTTGCCTGACGCCCCTCTCTGGGGGCCCCTATATAAACCGTTACTGCCTAGTCAGGTGACGTTATCGGCGCTTTTTTTAGCAGGGCTTTCCCGAACAATTCAAGTGGTCAAATTGGACATTCGGAACGGACTATGAATATGGGGATAGCGAGGTAACATAAGTGGAAGTCCATACAATACATACATTCATTAAAAAAAAAATATGGCTCTTAACGTGATGTCCCTTTAATATGTTTGAATGTTTTGTACTGGACTAGTTTACATTATGGCAAACTTTAGTAAGAAGTTAGGCAAACTTTGCATTTGGTGCAAATGTAAATAGGTTAGCAGGTAATCACAGTTACAGTATATAGTCTGTACCACTTAAACATAAACAATAGCTTTGGAAGCCGCTGTTACCGAGCCACTATTGGGTACATGTAGCTGTTTTTACCACTTTAACAGCTAGGAAGTTGATAGTCATGTCGCAACTTAAACAGCACTTTAACTGTATGTAGTAGGTAACCGCAGTTACCACTTTATACTAGTCTAGTCATGCTCTGCCACTTAAACTGTAGTAGGTAGCCGCAGTTACCACTTGTAGATATAGTCTATTCATGCTCTGCCACTTAAACCGTAGTAGGTAACCGCAGATACCACATTAATATAGTCTATTCATGCTCTGCCACTTAAACTGTAGTAGGTTACCGCAGTTACCACCTTATAATAGTCTATTCATGCTCTGCCACTTAAACTGTAGTATATAACCGCAGTCACCACCTATTCTTAGTCTATTCATGCTCTGCCACTTAAACTGTAGTAGGTAACCACAGTTACCACCTGATAAAAGTCTATTCATGCTCTGCCACTTAAACTGTAGCAGCCACTTAAACTGTAGTAGGTAACCGCAGTTACCACCTCATAATAGTCGATTCATGCTCTGCCACTTAAACTGTAGTAGGTAACCGCAGTTACCACCTCATCATAGTCTATTTAGGCTCTGCCACTTAAACTGTAGTAGGTAACCGCATTTACCACATCATATATGATATTCAGGTTGTGCCACTTAAACAATAGAAGGTAACGCAGGTACCACAATCTTTTGCCACTTAAACAGTAGACGGTAACAGCTGTTACCACAGTTAGAATATAACCATCATTATCATACACAATAATAGTATGAATGCGTACTGCGTGGTGACTAATTAATGCCATATTCATTATAACAAACTGATATGTGTGATATAATGAGTTCTACTAGTGTATGTGATTGTATGTAAGTAGTCAATATTATAATTATAAGTTGTTGAGGGGATGAGTTAAATTGATATTGATCTGTATGATCATAAGAGTAAACAGGGATCATTGGTTAGAATTAGAAGGTTAAATTTATGTTTATGTTATATCTGACCATGTACATCCTTGTATCACAATTACATCACCTGGTCTGGTCATAGTGGTTATTATGTGTCATTAGCAGATATAAATATGTAGAATACTAGATAGGAACCAGGGCAGTTGTACTAAGTATATATATATTAACCCGCCCAGTTGCGTTTCCTAATTAAACAACCATGTGTTTTTACTAAACTTTTGATATTATATACCATGTATATACTATAGTATATATTGTATAAAGAAAAATTCTTAACAACGAGTCTATAGTACTTTCATTTCTTCTAGGAGATTCTTCAGACTGTTTATTTTAAGTATTGACGTCATAAACTATGACGTCACCTTATAGTTCGCTATAACGACGTCCGCCATATACGTACCCGCCATAACGATAGCACAGCATATATATATATGACGTTTGATAAAAACTTTTTTTTTTAAAGTTAGCAAACATATGCATCGATGTTCTAAAGATGATTTTCATGTGTTACCTATTTACAAACTGAATAGCGACGATGTAGTTGCAAGAGAAATTAAAGAAAATATGTTTATAAAAGTCCTCAAACCCAGCCTGAATGCACAATGATTTTTGCAATGTATTGTATGTAGATGTTTTCTTTGTCTTGGTATTGTTTGTGACGTCACTATGCTTGTTTATTTATGACGTCACTAAAATTGTTGACTATACAAATATTGATGACGTCATGTAACCAACGGTGATAAATAAACATCAATCCGCCTGAAGAAGCCCTAGAAAGCAGAAAGGCCTAGCGGACGATCTGAAAAATTTGTTTTTATTCTATATTTTCCTTCGCAAGGACTTATTTATTTATTATCTACTATATATAGTATATATATACATTGTATGTACGTATGTAATAACACAACTTGGCTAATATTCTTGGGGGTATTTCAGCTGTGGCATATCACATCTTCATTTGGGCATTTTACATCATTAAGTAATTCGTAAGTCCCCCAAGAATTTCATAATTCATTCATACTAATAATACGTATACAGTGCTTCCTTCAAGTCTCTTGGATCGGCCATCTACAAATGATACGCACACCTTGACTTGATTATGCCTAACAGAAGGCCGGGTCAAATCTTGAGTAGTTTTCATACACCACAGCTGTTATGACCCTTTAGCCCAAAATTAGTATAAATTGTTTAATAAAATTCAAATGATAATGTTATTCGTAATCGCCTTCGAATCTTTTGTTCATAAATCGTAAAAGGTCAGGTAATGCGCTGACAAAGACGCACCTTATTAGCGTCAAAACGTACAACTAGTATCTTTCTTCTGTTGTAGATTGCGAGTGTATTGACAAACTGATTAACGGAACGAATGACGATTCCCTTACAGCGTCTTCTTTTTACGGTGGCGGCTGCTCACCCCGATTTGTCAGGATCAACACTAATGACATAAACAAGGCTTGGTGTCCTGCCACGAAATCAAAGTCAGAATACCTGCAGGTAAAGTCAAATGCTATCCACTACACCTCATTCATATCGACATTAATCCTGAAATGTGAAAGTTGTCATTCCTGCTTAACATTCAGCAATTTGGACATTGTTTGTTTGTTTTGTATTGTTTTACGGCCCATCGAAAATTTGAGTCATTTAGGGCCAAACAACAGTGTAAAAATAGACATTCACAAAGAACTAAATACATAACAAGAGGCCCAGAGGTATCACCTGGAAATGTAAGCAAAATTGAAGTAAGAATAGCCAGATGTTACTGAAAGTGTACATGTATTACATAATATCAGGGGTTATATTCATATGCAATTGGATAAAATCCTGTCATTCCTAAAGTAAAAGGAGTACGTTTACCCTACTGGGCCCCGGCCCTCTGCCCCGAGGGGGGATCAGACCCATCGTTAATACACAATAAGGTTACCTTCACTCAAGGATGCTTTAGACCAAATATGGACATAATCCTGTCATTCCTACAGAAGGAAAAGGACTTGAAAGCTTTTTTTTTTCTATTTTCCCTATTTGGCCCTGCCTCTCTAACATAAGCAATGTCAGACCCACCATTTATACAAAATTGGTTCCCCCTCACCCAAGGCTACTTCATCGAAAATTTAATCAAAATCCTGTCATTTATACAGAAAAAGAAGGATTTTGAAGGATTTGCTGTTTCACCTATTGGGCCCCGCCCTTCAGGCCACAAGAGGTTCAAACCGCCCGCGTATACAAATTTCCCTTCCATATAGGATGCTACTGTTCAAATGTTTGTCAAAATACCTTCATCCCAACGGAAGAAGGATATTTAAGCTATTCCTCTGTATCCCCTATTTGGCCCCGTCTCTCTGCCCCCAGTGGGTCAGACCCACCGTTTATACAAAATGGGTTCCCTTCACCCAAGGATAGATACTTCATACCAAATTTGGACAACATTCTGACATTCCTACAGAAGGAGAAGGATTTTGAAGAATTTGCTATGTTTCCCGTATTTGGGCCCCGCCCCGCCCCCGCCCCCTGCACCCAAAGGGGCCACACTCAATGTTTATACAAAATTGAGTCCCTTTTACCCAAGGATGCTCCAGACAAAATTGGGATGAAATCCCTTAATCGCTATGGTAGAAGAAGGATTTAAAAGATTTACCTCCATTTCCCCTATTGGGCCCGCCCCTCTGCCCAATGGAGGAGAGGGCACACCCACTGTTTATACAAAATTGAACCCCCTGGGCCCAAGGATGCTCCATACTCCAATTATAATTAAATCCCTTTTCCCTATAGTAGAAGAAGGATTTTAAAGGTGTTACCGCTATTTCCCCTATTTGGGCCCCGCCCCTCTGGCCACAGAACGGCTACACCCACCATTTATACAAAATTGAGTCCCCTTGGCCTAAGGATGATCCAGACCAAATTTAGATAAAATCTACTTGGCCGTTCAGGACCAGTAGCGTTTTAAAGGAAAAGTTGACGGACGGACGCTGTGGTATGGCATAAACTCACCATGGTCCCGTACCAGGTGAGCTAAAAACAAGAAACCAAAGGTTAAGATGTGTAAAGATGTCAAAATATATCGATAGCAAACGAATGTTTATAAAATATAACATATCTTATTAAAGAGATTAATTGAATGTAAATAATCATAGATTGATTGCACAGGTTCCTATGCTTTTTGCTACTCATAAGAGTGGGGCATATGGAGAGTTGATATAAACAAAGCAACAGTGATAAACTGCCCTGTCCCTGTGCTATTTGCTACTAATAATAGTCGTTCATATAAAGGTACAAATTCACATTTTTGTGGTATATGGATACTCTACCCTCCGGTGCAGAATTGGTGTCAGAACCTCGGTAACGCCTAAAAAATTTATATTTTCTCCCACCTCTTAACCAAAAGTTTTATAAAACAGCATACAGGCCATGCAAATGCAATACAATGGTTAAAATGACTTGATAGTTGTCTGACCCTTCAACAAACTTGTTTTGTTTCGATGTGACCTTGCATTTACTGCAAAACATTTTCTTACAATCATTGTCTAGCCAAGTTCTGTTTTTCCTCCACTCCGGCCTAAAGGACCTTACGCGATTCTTTTCATAATTTTGCTTTCGTGATAGATAATCTTTTTCTGTCTGTCCACGGACAGACTTAGCTGGTTTTGAACCTTTCCTCCAGCTTAGCAACATTGCCATGGTTGGTTTAACATGGTTATAAACCGGAAGTAATGTTCAGTAACTACTAAAATCCGGAACCAAGTCTCTCTCATCGAAACGCTTCAATACGACGAATACCTTATTTTACGATAGGATTAAAACTTGTGATAAGCTTTATTGTGCGAAATGTATACAATTTAGAATATTTCCATTATTGTGGAGAAAAATTGCCAATTGTCCAGTCGGATTAGATAAATATTTTTAATACTAGTCCAGACTTAAATTTACTAGTCGTGGGCACCGGACTAGTGCCTAACGTCACAGACTGCACATAGACACACGTCCTTGTATGACCTGAACTAGAACGTTAGAACGTTTAACAAAATTGTACCAAACAAGGAAGTTTGATAGACAATTACCCTTTGCTGGGTAACAGGTTATGTTGAAATTAGTGAAAATGAAAAAGCTAATAAGGCGACAAAATCTACACTTTCACAACACGTAACCGAAATTAATTCAACATATTTATGCATTGTCATTAAAACAATATCAAAGAAACGGTAGTTTAGAACGGGACATACATGCATTAACCATGTACACTCGTGATCATACACTCGCTACTGAACATTTTATGAGCACGTGTACCGATCTTTAAACATTTTTTTACGTGCAAAACATGAAAAAAATATTTACACACAGGGCTCTATGAAATAATGCAGCTTTCACAATTCCCCGACAACTTCAACCTTTAAGGCCAAAATGACATTTTGCAAAAAACCCAATTACTACAAGAAAGGTTTCATTGTACCATAATTTATCGCAAGTGGTCACTCATATGGGACCTACTGCCGAATCCGAGTTTCCTTCAACGTCTTCCGCTAAAAAGACACTGAAAAGCAAAAATCGATATCCTGCCCATCCCACCCCCTATTAACACTTTGAATGTCTTATTCGATCTGACTTACTCTTACTTTTGGTGATGTCACTCTAGCTTGCCATATGCTTCATATGCTATTGACTGTTTCGAGGACAAAAAATCCAAAACACAACCGAATTAAAGAACAAATCCGAAACAAACCTTGTTTCCCCGACTCTACCTCAGTTGATTTTTATGTGCTGAATGATTGATATGCTTTATTAATACATTATTTCCTTGCATAGGTTGAATTCCAACACAAGTCTGCTGTGACGGCCCTCGTGTTCCACGGCAGGATAAATCAATATTTAACATCCCTCACAATGAAAACAAGTCAGGACGGAATCAGTTGGAGTGACGTCACCGACAATCTAGGAAATAAAAAGGTTGAAACTATTTTATCATGTGTGTATTAGTTTAAACTTCCACGTGTTGCACTGTCTGATCACCTCTTGTTTACTTTAAGCATAACGGCCTAACGATACGGTGAACATCATACACATTTACTTGTATAAGAACATGGTTGTGAAATATATTATCTTATTACAAATATCAATTGAGTCAAATGTGAATGTATTCATTGCAAAGAAACAATATCAAAAATGTTTTGTATAGTGCATACATTTTAAAATTTGGTAGGTCGGCGGTGCAGTAGACATTGCACTTGCATATAGACCTTCCGTTCGTGCAAACAAGCGTGATTGGTATCAGTTGAAAATCATTTTTCATAGTTTATGCAAAATAGTTAATTTGTGACGCATTTGTTTTATAAAATGTTAGAAGCAGAAAGAAAGATAAAAGATTCCAAATATTGCAATTGGCACACCAACATTTATTGTGGTGGCTTTTGTATCCCCAAATAGAGGACACCGAAGCAAATCCCCAAATCTGCAGGAGGTTGGCGCATTAGTCGCCTCTTACGATAATGCCGTGGCCAACAGCAGGCGTCACTTTTCGTATGAATGTTGAGCGTTCGCCCAGATGAGGAAGGCAATTGGTTCTCTCCCAAGGCCGGGAAATACCATAGTCCTATTAGCAATGGTAGTTGTTATTCTCTGCTTAACGTTCAGCATAAAGGGTAATGGCAAGAACTGGTTCATCCGTTGTCAGTATAATGTGACCGCAGGGAATGCTGTGCTGGGTGCATATCGGCAAGGTATTTCATTGTGATAGCACTATAAAGTCGGCATCAGATCCGCGCTTCAGTTGTTGCCATTCTCTTAAATGCTCATTGTTAAGCAGGGAATACAAAACTATCATTTTAAAGGATTTTGATATATCCCCGCCTGGGGACAAACCAAAAGTTTTCCTTACCTCGGCGAAGGGATGAGGGCAAACAAACACGGAGGCACGTTCTTAAATGACCTTAGCCGATACAGGGACCCTAAACCATATCAAATTATACCAAACTCGAGGCGTCCGTCTTCATATGAACTTAGTTTTTGAAATATACCACATGAAGTCGCTAACGGCGGGTACATATAAATATTTATAATATTTTATATATTATATTGTATCCCTGTAATATATCCAGACACATTTATCATACATGTTGTCATGGAGGCAGCAGATATTTTGGTCTCTTCATTTTCCTCACGGGAGAAGTGATTCTGCTTTAACCACCTTTTCTTTCTCCGCCGTTCCCTTAATAGAAACCTTTAGAACCTATTCCGTCTTTGCGTATTGCAGAGTTATCTTCTCTTGGGAGCAGGTATTGATTGTAACGTCATTGGTTTGTGCGAGCAAATTTCGTCGTTTTCTCAAAAATTGATGACGTTACCCTCTCAAACAAGTGACGTAACAATCGATACCTGCTCCCAAGAGAAGATAACTCTGCAATACGCAAAGACGGAATACAGATTGGACAAAACATATTGGAAATTAGTTTGAAAGCAGTTATAAGTTTAAATGTTTAATAAAATGAGACAGTCAGTTGTTACGTTCAAGGAATCATCAAGTAAGTTAACATATGAAAGAATGACTTAAGGTCTAACGACGGTCTGCTCTGCAAAATTCTTTATTAAGGCTTTACGGTCTCTCGACACAAATATTAACGCGTTAAACATCATGGAGTATATAAGAACGGATGTCTAGGGGGACACAGTCATAAAGATAGATAGTAGAAAGGAAATACAGGGAAAAACGAAAGATAATAAACGAAAACAACCCCAAGAGAGGACAGCTGATTACTTTTGGTATCTTACATGTCGTCCTCTTAAATTATTGGAAGACACAGAACAGAAACAAAGACACAGGTCTTTTCTTGTCTTCACCGTCCTTTAAACAGAAGACATTCGGGGGCTGGGTAGGAGAGAAGTAAGTCAAAATAAGTTACATAAAAAGCAAATAAGTAGATAAATTTTCAAAAAACAATAAAAATTGTGCGAGAAATGTAAACACTTTATTACATTAAACAGGCTGAGCAGAGACCACATATAGTTGTCATTTATCTTGTTTTTGAGGTTATGTTTGTTTGTTTTGTTTAGATTTACCAAGCAGCCAATGACTGGACGACACTAGTGACTCGTGTTGTGAACGAAAACATCCTGGCCAAATTTATTCGCATCCATCCGGAATCGTGGTTCAGCTATCCTTCCTTTCAACTTGAGATTCTTGGATGTCCAAAATGTATGTTGTTTACAAAGTTTGTTTATATTGATTTTGATTAAAAATAGAACAGCTCATCAACATTGAAGGTCATACGGGTATGCAATATTAAACGAAGTTTAAATATTCTTTTGTTTTTATGTTGCAGGCCTAGCATTGGTCTTCTGCTGTAATCAATTAAAGTTGAATCACTCAGTAAGGTGATGCTTCACAAACGCAATAAAACCGTTGTTCTTGTCTACATTATTCATAAAGGCTATATACAGGGGTTCTACAACACTCCCATATGCCATACTCCCATATTGTCAGAGGTCAGTGTGGTTTGGAAACAATAATGTATTGCATAAATGATTTCTTGTTTTCAAGTAAGGTGGACAGGCAGGGCGAAGTATTGGGAATATAGTAAATCCTACCCCCTGCAGGCCGGGGATCGAAAAATGCACCTGCTGTTTCTCATTGCATGTATCTTAAGAGGCGACTTAAGCAGGAACCCCTGCAGAATTGGGGATTTACTTTTGTGACCTCTATTAGAGAAATTAAAAGCAACCAAAATTAATCTTTAACTCATCGTAATATTTGGGATTTGAGTGATTTGCTTGGCAATACCTCACCATTGTCTCTAATGTATAAAAGTAAAGAAAAATACGCAATCTGCATTAGGTTCACAAAATAGTCATTACTTATAAATTATGCAGCGAGTTTGTAAGAGCAGGTAGTTTTTTGTCAATCCCCCAATAAGTAAGCGGTTCACCAGTTCTATTCTTTCCCCCAACCTGCACAGGTCAACGATGTTAATAGAATGATGTCCGATCCAAGTTTTACATATTACTTTTCGTTGTGTCTAATAGTCTTGTTATATTAGTTTTTGGTAGAGCGTGTTGGATTAGGAAACTTGGTATTCCGGACAAAGTGCTTCCTGTGATACACCAAACAACGGCTCCTAACAACATACAGTGTGGGAAAGTGTGTTACAAGTACCAGTCCTGTGGAAGTTTCATGTTCGATACCGATACTACAGAATGCCACCTATACAGTATCGAAACATTCAACATGACAGCACATGTGTCGACGCTGAGCCGAAAAGTATATTTTGTGAGAGAATTTGACTGCATTCCTTGACTTGACTTGTGGAGTTTTGATTACTGTGTAACATTGATAGTGATATTCAATGGGGTTACGGATCCAGCACTGTTTGTTCATGTGTGTAACGTATACATGCTTGTGTGCATCTGTACTGGAGGCATGGTATGTTGATTAATGTGCCTCCTTGCGATAGGGCGCTTACATGCCAACTTTAGAGTGCTACTTTATTAGAAATAAGCTGTAAAAATGTCAGCATGAGATTAGGTAACTGCGAAAACTAATTATTCCACGTACACAAAGTATTGCAAATAAGATGTAACTAAACAAAAATATAAGATAAATCAATTAAAATGTAAAATAAAAGTTTTACTTGGGCAACAAAGTTATTCTTAGTTAACAATGTGAGTCATTTAGGGCAAAAAACACTACACAAAGAGACATTCACGACAATAAACACACCAAACCAACGTTTAATAGCTTAAAATATGTAAAGGATTAATGAAATACATCGATATCGAACAAATTGATTGCACAATATATCATATTTTGATGTAAAGATCAATAGTGTTAATATTCAAATATTAATTAAACAAGCAAATTCGTGGAATTTATATCCCCCGCTTAAAGGACAAATCGCAGGTAAACATTTTTGAGGTTAGATTTAAATATGTGAGTATCGTGTTGTTGAGACCTCATGTATAGCTTGAAACTCGAAGAAAAAAAGCCTTATACAGAAACTGTAGCCAATGACGTTCTTTGTTTATCAAGGGGCCAAATGGAGTCCGATTAAAGTGGTTGTCAAACTAAGCCGAGCCCCTAATGCGTTGAACCCTGTTAATAAGTTTGTAGACAATCGGATAATATTTGCGAAAGTTAATCAACAGAAACGGCAGATAATGACTTGGCCGAGCCCTTAAGGAATTTAACCCTGTTACCAAGTTTGAAGAAAATCGGTTAACATTTGTTGCAGTTATTGCACGGAAACGAAGCGTGAAAGACAGACCGACAAACCCAAATTAATATCCCACGTTTCGGTGAAAGCGGGGGATAATAATCTTTTCATAGACTGTACATCATAAAATTTGTCACGTATTTGTTTGAAATCAGCGCATTCAATCAAACAGTGTTTGACTGAAAATGGTTGATCGCATGCATGACAATAAGACTGGTCTTCCTTACGCACAATGTAGCCATGTGGGATGTAGGTATGACCAATGAGCAGTCGCGAGAGGACAATTTCCTCTCTGCGGTCTGCTCTACTTGTTGCACATGAACCCACATTAGGTTGAATTGCAAATAACTTGCTGTTTAATTCTTCAGGATATTAAATCCGTTAAATCAAAATGTACACATTGGTATGTCTGTTGGCTTAATATCTAAGAAATTTGTGTTATCATGTCTTGTACATTTAGTTAGAAAGTGACGGTATTATTGTTCTATTAGTGTACACGAATTCACATTGAATACTTTGAGATTGTTATATTTCATTAGACTGTGTCATTCTATATACGTATGCTATTTATATTCATAATGTGAGATGTTCACATGACCAAGTCCTTCATGACCAAGATTCGTATGCTGAAAGCTTACATAGTCCGATATGAACACCAAATCTATTCTCTTAATGTTACCGTAATTTCGTCTGTAAATGATCTCATATTGTTGTATTTCATTATTTGTATCATAATACAAGTATTCAATCCAAATACGATCGTAGTATCATGTTGTGAGTATGTTAATTAACGATAGAAGTGTTTCAATGCAAGGTGAAGTCTGTGCATATTGAACCAATGTGTATGAGCAGACGACAAGTCCACGCGTGTTGGAAATTTGAAGCAATATGAATTGGCAGCCAGGAGATTCGAAGTCTCTGTCAATTTGTCCTCAAAGAGAGCAGGCAAAGCAAGCAGTGTCAATTTGATCTCAAAGAGAGCAGGCAAATCATAAGTGTCATTTTGACCTCAGATAAAGCAGGCCAAGCAGGCAGCGGAAATAATTAATCAAGCAGAGATGGAGAAGACGCAGAAGGCTGGAGCTAAGGTAAAAAAACATATCAGAAGAAAATAAGGAGAAATATACTAAAAGCAATTTAAGAGAAATGTACTAGGAGTACTTCGGAGAAATGTACTAGGAGAAATATACTAGGAGAAATGTACTAGGGGAAATTAGAAATATACTAGGAGCACCAATACTAGGTGCAACTAAATGGTTTAGTAAAATAATCTTGAACAAAAGAAATGAGGAAGCTTCTGTCTGAAACATGCATTTAAGATTGTCATATTCAAAAAACCTGTTCATTTATTCATAATCACATTGTCAATGAATCGAAAGGAGACAACTCAGCTTAACGTAAATTAAATTGTACAGGTAACCTCTCAGGCCGCTATGGAGTGTACTTTTGTATTGTAAACTTGTCACTTGAAAGTCCACAAATAAATTCCACTTTAACTTGTACTCTTTTGTTGAGTCGTTCTTGAAGAATATGCCACAAGCCAACAACCAGACATATCTGTTTATTAGATCACCTGAGACAAAGTCTCAAGTGACCTTTTGCGATCGCCTTTTGTCCGGCGTCGTCCAGCGTCCGTCCGTAAACAATTGATATTTTCGACTTCTTCTCCAAAAACCCTGAACCAATTTTAATGAAAAATTGCAGAAACCTTCCATGGCCAAGGGTCAACAAAAATAGTGGCCGGTTTGGTCCCCAGCCCCCAGGGGCCTGAGGGGCGGGGCCAAAAAGGGTCGAATTGACTGAAATTTCAAAAATCTTCTTCTCAAGACCCAGATATGGTAGAATCACATACTCTTATAGATGGAAGGGTCTTAAGGTGCTTTACCAAAATTGTGAATTTCGTGACACTGGGGAGGGGGTAAACTTTACTATAGTTTATATAGGGGAATCACATTTTGGACCAACATTTATTTAATTTCCATTGGAAGTAATACAATTTAGGTTAGCATTATCAGTATTAGGTAGCAGTTTGATAGCATGCAGATATCAGCCCTGACTGACCCCCAGGGGCTGATGGTTGGGGCCCAAAAGGATTGAATTGACTAAAACTTCAAAAATCTTCTTCTCAAGGCCCAGATATGGCTATAGTTTATATAGGGGATAGATGGAAGGGTCTTAAGGTGCTTTACCAAAATTGTGAATTTCATGACCCTTGGGTCTCACGTTTCGCCCTTGGGAGGGGGTAAACTTTACTATAGTTTATATAGGGAAATCACATTTTGGACCAACATCTGTTTAATTTCCATTGGAAGTAATTCAATTAGGGTTAGCATTATCAGTATTGGGTAGCAGTTTGATGGTATGCACATATCAGCCCTGACTGACCCCCGGGGCTGATGGGTGGGACCAACAAGTGTTGAAATGACTAAAATTTCAAAAATCTTCTTCTCAAAGACCCAGATATGGTAGAATCAAACACTCTTCATAGATGGAAGAGTCTTAAGGTTTATGACCCTAGGGTCTCATGTTTACCCCCTGGGGAAGGAGGGGGCAAAATGTATTATGGTTTGTAATGGCAAATTATACTTTGAATATGACATGGTAATATCTTGATTGAAATTATAACCCTGAGTTGACAGTTTGATACTTAGCCCCAAGGGCTGTAGGGTGGGTCCCAAAGGAGACAGTGTGCTAAAATTTCTTCATTTTCCTTGTTTAGAATCAGAGGTGCTAGTTTCAAATACTTGTTAGTCTTAAATCTGTATGCTAGATATTGAATACGATGGTTTTATTGTTTTTTGTCACTTTGAATAATATTTCATTTCGAGTTAAAAACAAAATCAACTCTCTGTATAAATATATCAGGTGACTGTTAAGGCCCATGGGCCTCTTGTATACTATACAATGCATCGTCAGGAAAGATTCTCGGCCGGACGACTTTAAAGTCTTGAGTACCTGACGGTCGGCATTGCATTGGCGTCGTCGACAGGATTTGAGGGTTTATAGTCTTGAAATCAGATATAACACATTTCTGAGATGCTGGTAGTAGTTGCAGAAAAGTTGATTGCTGAGAAGCAGGCTTTTGCTGTAGTCAGTGGTAGTATCTGAAAAAGACAGGGTAAGACCTCATATTGAAATCTGGTGTTGGTGGTTCACATTATAGTGATGATGGAGATAATATTGAAGTAGTTGAGGAACAGGCATATAATGACAACCCTAGGGTAGAGAACAATTTCCAAAACCAACTTGTTAGGGTTATGGAAAGAATAGAAAACAATATGACTGGATTTAGGAGTGAATTGTAAAATATACATCAGGGACTCGAGAGGTGAACTAAGAAACATTGTTAGAGAATTAAGGTGAGAAATGAAAGACCATACCGGAGATATGAAGAAAGACATGGAGAATATTAGGGAGGAATTTAGTCAGAATCAAAATAGAAATGATAACTAAGGTTTAGGTGAGAAGAGAAACTATGATCGAGACGAGTGGCGTAATATCAGACCAAGGGCTATTTCTCCTTATATAAATTCCCCCAGGAGAATAATCATAGAGAGACTACGAAGCAAATGAGTCGAGATGAAACCGTTACCATACAAAGGAAAAGATGACTGGGAAGACTTTATCGCGCTGTTTGAAATAGTAGCAGAGCTGGACATGGACACCTGGACATTCTATGAGAAATATCTTTCTGGAAGCTTGACCGGTGGTCCTGCAGCTGTGCTGAATGGCCTAGAGGAGTTTCACAAGAGAGATTTTGATAGTGTAGCGGCAGCATTAAACAGAAAGTTTGGATCATCAAATAAGGCAGAAATATTTAGATTCCAAGTTCAGACCAGAGTCAGAGGTAAAGATTATTGATATGGCACAGTCCATTAAAAGATTGACCCGTAAAGCTTACCCATAGATGGCAACAAAATCAACAAATGTCTTAGCTTTCGATTTCTTTACCCAGGCCTTACCTGATTTCGAGTTGAGAAACATATAATAAGAACTACGAGGAAATTGATGGAGAAGAAAATGTCGCTGTCCACTTTGAGACGCATCGATTGGCAGACAAGCAGAGGGGCAGAAAAAAGTTCGGAAAATAGGTCATGACAAGGAGAACAAAAATGTTGAAGTCCAAGATGAGGAGACAGAAACAGTGAGAAAATTAGCAAATAAAGTTAATGAACTAAGTGATTGGAAAGAAAAGAGGAGACAATAAAAAGACAAAACAAATCCTTACCAAGGACAACAGAGTAACTAGTACCGAGGACAATCACTTTCGATATGGAAATAACTCGCATAACTACGGTCCAATGAATCAATAATTGGCAGTACACGGGAG